GTGCGTTGGTGCGCGCCCGGGATCCGAACCTGGGCCACCAGCAGCGGACTGCGCGCACTTAACCGCTAAGCCACGGGGCCGGCCCATAACATTTGTTTTAGATATTTTTGTCTAGTTTTCTGGTTGTTCACAGTGAGAGGGTAAATCTGATTCCTGCTATTCCATTATGGCCAGAAGTGAAAATTCTGGGTAAATTATTTCGCCTCTCTGAGCCTCAGTCTCTTCGTCTATAAAAGAGTCAATAATTTCTATATCCCAGGGATAATGTGAGGATTAAGTGAGATAATGTCTGCTTACAGTAGTAACTACCACTTGCTGAGTGGCTTAGTATGTGCCAGGCCTCATCCTAAGCACTTTACATTAGCTATTTCATGTTATTTGAACTTCACAACAACTCTGATTTAAAGGTATTATTAACCCCATTATACAGATGAGAAGTTTAAGTAAATTGTCCCAGGTCAAATAGCTGATAAACGCAGAGCTGGAATCCTTATTCCCAAGCCCATATTAACTGTGGGTTGTAGGAGCTTGAGGTGGTGCCTGGCACACAGCAGGAATTTGAGAATCCAAATGTTAGACTCTCCCTTTACTCCATTATCCTCCCCCGATACTTGGCCGCTCAAAGGATATAGAATTGTAATAGATGCCAAAGTTTATCTTGGGAAATTCAATTTCTGGTATTGGGTTCTTTCTCCCAGCTTCCTCCCTGGGATATTCTCTCTTAAACTGCTCTAAAATCCATCGGCTTCCTTTGCCTTCACTGCCACCCTTCTGGTCCAGACGACTGTTCCCTGCCCGGACTCCTGCTCCCACTCTGGCGTTTCTAACTTATCTCCTCATCACAGCCCCAGTTGTTCCTTCAAAATGCAAATCTGATCCAGTCTCTTTCCTGTTTAAACTCTTCGGAGATCTATTAGAATAAAGCCTAAAAATCTTTTTCAAGTCCACAGGATCTGCGTGGTTTGGCCCCCACCTGGTTCTCCAGCTGCTTCTCACACTGCACGTGCCTTCAGTCTCCCAGCCACTCATGGTCCTGTTGTCATTTCCCCAAATATGCTGTCACGCAACTGGGCTTTTACCTTTCCTCGTGTGTCTATATGATAATGAATTGCCATTTTAATGAAAATGTCTAGGTTCTTCTTCTTTTTTTTTTTTCTTGTGAGGAAGATCTGCCCTGAGCTGATCCATGCTAATCCTCTTCTTTTTCCTGAGGAAGACCGGCTCTGAGCTAACATCTATTGCCAATCCTCCTCCTTTTTTTTTTTTCCCCCAAAGCCCAAAGCCCCAGTAGATAGTTGTATGTCATAGTTGCACATCCGTCTAGTTGCTGTATGTGGGACGTGGCCTCAGCATGGCCAGAGAAGCGGTGCGTCGGTGCGATGCCGGGATCTGAACCCGGGCCGCCAGTAGCGGAGCGCGCCCACTTAACCGCTAAGCCACGGGGCTGGCCCTAGGTTCTTCTAATTTCTATTTTTACCTGAGACTCTCTGCTAATCCTCTGAGACTTGCCAAGGCTTGGTTCTGGTTGGCCATCCAGGCAAACTCTTAAGCCTCGGTCCTTATGCTGACGCCCTGCCACAGAATTCACAATGTCTTAATTTACCTTATTAACTCAACGGAGAACATTGGCTCCTGAACGAGGATTGTTATCCTGCACGTGGAAATTTCACAAAATGGCCTTAGGATTGTCACCTCAAAATGTTGTCTATGAAGCACAGATTGGTGGCTAGGACTAACCTTGGACAAGTCTTTTTTTTGCTGAGGAAGATTCGCCCTGAGCTAACATCTGTGCCATTCTTCTTCTATTTTGTACGTGGGTCGCCATCACAGCATGGCTGCCGACAAGTGGTGTAGGTCTGCACCTGGGAACCGAACCCAGGCCGCCAAAGTGGAGTGTGCCAAGCTTAACCACTAGGCCATGAGACCAGCCCTGGACAAGTCTTTTCTTATACCAGAGAAGGCCTGGAAGTTTCTTCCAGTCTCTTTGTTCCCACATAGAATAATGAGCCCCACATCTTCTCCTCTATGTTCAGGGCTTCCACAGAAGCTAATGAGACAGGGTCCATAAATGGCCTTGAGTTCCTTGGTGAGAGACAGTGCATATGTAAATATTACATGCTGAAGTTCGTAATAGAAGTGTGTAATAAAGTCTGACATCATCATTCTAAGATGCGACATTGCTCAATTGTGAGCAACCAGTGAGACTATTGAAATGACCCATTAGAAGTTCATGAGAAAAACATGGAGAGGGAAGGTAGCTCCTGGGGGAGTGGTGGAAAGCTCCATGAGGGATCATGGGTTCTTTAACTGTATCCTCTTCAGAGCTTAGTCCAATATGGAATATATAGGAGCCGCTCAGGATAGGCTGATTATCACCTGTAAAGGTTATCAGAGGTGATTCTGTGCTTGGAACACATAAGAGAGAAGCAGCCTCTATAATGAGATCACTGGGGCTCTGTGAAAGAACCAGTGCTTGGCAGAGTTGGTTGCTCATCAAACCTTGGCTGAGTGTTTGACACCGCAGTAGCTGGTTAGATTCAACGCTGGCTTCAGTGAGGGGTGAAGCGGCAGCTACATAGATGGTAGCCTAGTCTCTTACACTTAAATATGTCTCGCCCCAAAACTAGCAGCCCCACCTTTAGAATTCAGTTCCTTTGGGTTACTTTCCCCTTGTTAAGATGTGAACACCTTGTCACGAATGGTGAACGAGTTTTCTTTTTCCCCAGTAGGACTTCTAGTGGAGGATCACACCCTACCCGATGAGAGATGCAGAGGCAAAACCTGAGGAAAGCATCCTGGGAGGAAACACTCCTTTAGATAATGTCCAAGCCTGTAAAAAGGCACTGGTTCCCAGAAGGAACCCAGAAGGCAGAGGAAGGGGCAAGGAAGGGTCTCATGGCCAAACACCAGCAAGTAGCTTGGGACAAGATTTGGCTAACTGTGGATTGGGACAGGGTGAAGGAAAACATGTCCCACATAGGAAATTTTCTGGCGCTCATAAGGCAGATTTATACTCAGTTATAGGCATGATTAGGAAAGAGTTTGGAAGCCAGGACTGTCACTAGGAGAGCTGGGTCCACAGTTAGGAGGCAGGATCTCAAGCTGGAGGGCCTGGTGTTTCAGGGACAAGAGATTCAGACTCAAATGCCACTGACTTGACCTGCCTTCAAGGTATTGACGTCAGGTATGCTGGGAAGGCTCTCTACCTCGTGCAACGTTTTCCCCAACTGCTCACTGATGCCTGACATTCCTTTGAATGGGGAGCAAAGCCTGCCTTACAGAGCGAAAGAGCAAGCTTAAAATGACCATGAAAGGAAGGAGGAAGAGAGAAAGAGAAAGTGAGAGAGAGAAAGAGAGAATGTATGCATGACACTGAAGGAGGCAAAGAAAGTCCAGTTGGCCTTCGCCTGGGGCTGGGGGGGTCTAGGGTCTATCATTTTGCTCAAGGCCATCCCAATGGGGAAATCTGTTTTCTCCCTCACAACAGCAACAGAAGCTATTTCAGAACGGCTTTAAGGTTCCCCAGAATTAGGAAACAGAAGAAAACAAGGCCTTTCTTCTAGGCAAGTAACTAAGATTATGAAGGTGGTGGGAGGTGAGGAGAGGGGCTCAAATTCTTTACTTCAATTCTTTAATACTTCTCAGTTGCCACTCTGAAATGCAGTACTGCTCTCTGCTGGCGACAGTGTGGTACAGCTCTTCAAAAACAGGGACGACTTGCAAGTCCTTTTCACACGGCTGGGAAAGACTGAGGCGTTGACTCTCAAAGTGAGGTGGGAGACAAATCTAACATGGAATGATTTTCCAACCACCACGCTCCCTCAGAAAACACCGCTTGGTGTCTTTGGCTTTGCATTTAAACAGGTATATCTAGCTTCTCCAGCTTGTGCTTAGCAAATTAGGTGACTTTGGCATAAATGTTCAAAGAACAATGGCTCCGAGCCCCACCCACCTGATTGCAGGCCCTTGGCCCCCTCCCAAAGCCTCCCTCAGAGACACTGCAGTGCTCTCAGGGGTGGAGGCTCACGGTCCGGGGCTGTGGGCACCATGGAGAGTCCACCGTGTTCTTCTCGCTGGCTCCTGGCCCTGCACCGTCTCTTGGCCAAAATGCCCTTTGAAGGAAAGTTCCGCTGCACTGCTGACTGGCCCTGGCGCTACTGAGTCTCCGCTCTGACACAGTTACCAGTCCCGCTGGTGCCTGTTTCTGGGCAGACATAGGAGAAAGGGCCCAGCAGAGATTCGGGATTTATTCAGGTAGCTTGTATGACCAAATCACTGAAGGTAAAGGCTTTCAGTTGCCTGTGCGGTGTTTGGGTATTAACACAAGCTCACATGCTTGGGGGCTTTTGTTCATTCTTGTGAAACTGGATCTCCGCAAATGGATTCTAAAATCAAAGTGAAAACTTTACTAGTATTTTCTCTCTGTTCCTTTATAATATTTACTCAAAATATGTTTTCATTTTCTTTAGAGGCCACCAAAACCTTCCATAATGAAGTGTGGGTACATATCCATCAAATCCTTTAGGATGAGAAATGGAGCCTAAAATAGAAGATGTTCTCAACACTACTCTCCAGTAACCAGTGGTATTAAGTATTAGGGTTAAACTTCACCTTGGGGAGAAAAAAAGAAAATGTTTATGGACCTTTCTCAAAGCGCACTGGGAAACATGAAACACGGCTCTGATTTCAGGGGCTGGTAAATGCAAGCATATTCCAGGTTTTAAAAGCAATTAAATGCAAGTTATTATTTCTGACACAAACAAACCAGACCCCCAAGACCCTGAGGTGCTTTTTACAATCTGGAAGAAGCTGACGAGGCGACAGTGATCTGAATCTGAGGATGCTCAACCATTACTCCTTAGGCCTCCGTTGATGTTTTCATTACTGCAGTGGGGAGCTTCCCACCTCTCTAATGCCCGTCTGAGGACCCATCTCAGCCCTGATAGTAGCAACTGGGAGCAAGAAAACTCGCTGAGGACCTAAACCGAAGACGTGTGTGTTGAAAGTTGTAGCCGTGGGTGTGCAACCAGTGTGGTCTCTCGAGGCCCCACCCTCAGAAGGGCGCCATGCTCAAAGGGTCCTGCACTTGGGGGTTAATGCTCTGCGGCCAGTGTCTTGATACTTTTACCTTTAATCATTTTAAGAATTATTAAAGAAGGTAATTTTAAGAATAATTTCACCATTCTTAATAACGTTATCTTTGAATTTATGTTTTGTAAGTGAAGTCTGGTGGGACAATGAAGCATGCGCTGGGGCTTGGAGCCTCACTCATGCACGGCCTGCCTCTTGCTGCCTCGCTGGGATGGGTTCTCCGCTGTCTGTCTGATGCCGGCCCTGATATCAGTTCCCCCACGTTAAACCCAGCGTATATGGGGTTAAAACCAAAGGTGCTCATCTCCTTTCCCTGCTTCTTTGTTACATTCATATGTAAATATCAGTTTTTTAAAACTTTGTATCCCTGAACTTCACAAGGCAGATAGAAGTTACAAATTGTTAAAAGCCCAGGTGGCCTCATCTTGGGCTTACACTGAAGTTGTGGCTAGTTATGGGTCTTTCGAAGTTTTATTACAGGGAAATTGATATCCAGAGAATATCAAGCTGAAGCTTCCCAGACCCCAGCTCCTTGGCTTCTTGGTGCCAGAATCCACCATCTACCAAGGACACCCACCTGCAATTCCCTTATCTTGCCATTCTCCTCCCTGCCAGCAACCTCACAAGGCCAAATGCAGCCTAGTGGGAAAGCCTCAACCAGCAAGGCCACAGGCTCCCCCTCCCTACAAGCAGCCGCATTCCTCACAACCTTTAAAACCCCTTGCCTGCCATCTTTTGGGGAGACAGGTCTAATTTGAGGGCTTACTCTCTTGTCTCCCAGCTGACATCACCCGAAATAAAAACCCTTTCCTTGCCATAAGCCTGGCATCCCAGTTTTTATTTGGCCCCTCTTATGTGGCAGGTAAAGAACCTGGGTATGTGTTTGGTAACATGTTCCCTGCTCCCTGGCTCCCCTGGCCCTGCCTGGCTTTCGCCTCCCTGTCTTTGCCCCATAATGCTGTCACCCTCCGCCCCTGGTAGAGGCCTGGGTATGGGCACAGGGAGAATTGCAGTTGAGCACATGTGCCTGCAGCACCTCCAGGAGAGGCATGGTGGCAGCCGTCCCTGCCCTGGGCCGGCAGTGCCACATTTGGCGGGTAGCAGCAGAGGGGAGACCCTCTTCCACCCCTCATCCAGGTATTGAGCATGACCTGGCACAGAGGTTTAATCCTGTGGGGCTCTCCCATCCACCTTGGGATCTGCCTGGAGCATGGCATGTCAGTCTGGTGGCTGGCCAGAGGACCGGAGGAGGAGTCCCAGGGCGGGTGGCTGTGTGTGCTTATGCAGTCAGGGGGCAGCCCACGTCCACCCCACTGCAGTGCCTGTGAGGGTCTGCACTCAGCCTACAAATATCCCTGTGCCCCAGGATGCATAACATTAAATAACAAATACATACCCCGAGAGGGTGAGAGACAGAGACCATGGGAGAAAGGGAAAAGTTTCATATTTTAATGGCACTTTTCCCCTGCTTTTTGAACAAGGGACCCTGATTTTCATTTTGCACTGAGATTCATAAATTAGGGATCTGGCCCTGGCTGTAGCAGAGGGTAGGGACCGTCTTTCTGGTTCTGTCTATATGGCATCTTAAGTTACTGGGCTTTATTAAAGATGACTTATCAAGTTTTCATGGGTACAGAGGAACTTCTCCAGGGGTGGGGGTCACACAGGTAGCCACCGACAACCTGAGAATAATGAGTGAGAATAAATATTTGCTGAATGAATTGATGGATAAATGAATGAATGAATAAAACAACAAACTAAAGAAAACCACAAGGCATAAATGTGTGATGGGCCCAAAATATGATCCTCCTAGTTTTATTTGCCTTAGAACAGGAGGCAGAGGCTAAGGAGGAAAAATTTGTGGCATAGAGAGCCCTTGAGGGCTCTGGAGGGAAGGTGGCTCCTCAATCTTGCTGTTGAGGCTGCTGTGGGCAGTCCAGGCTCCTCTGCTGGTCAGTCTTTCCTGTCTACTGTACCTCCCCCTCACTGCTTTAACACTGATGTCTAGAAGACCTTCATCCTGTAGAGCAGTGGGACCTTTGTAACGAGGAAAGTCAGAAGCCTTGACATGGAATTTCTCCTCCTCGGAGGAAATACTGTACCTTATGAACCTCTGTTGTTTTGTCTCCAAAAATCTCAAGCTGCAATAATCCCAAGTTGCTCGGAGCACAGAGAATGTGGCTGGTATTTAATCAGAATGCCCCATAGCGTGCACTGTGTCCACGGTCCCTTCATCCCTGCCTGTCAGTGCCTCTCCAGCTGGTCTCTACCTTCTCCTTGAAGCCCTCTCTGCCTGCGCCAGCGACCTGAGTTTTCTCTTCTGAACTCACAGAGCACGGACTGCGACTCCAACTTTGCCAGGTGTGCTATTATTTTGGCATTTGCTGTGTGGCTTTTAGAGGCTCATTGCCTCTTTGAGGCCAAGGATTGTGTTGTTCCCTTCTCTCGAATCGCTCTCAAGGCCAAGCCCAGGCTTGAGCACCAAGTACGTTGACTCTGCTCCAGCCACTCAGCCCTCTCACTGTTCCTCCATCACCCTGGACCTGCCTGCACCACAGGGCCTTGGCACCTGCTCTCTCCCTGCCTGGAAAACCCTTGCCCCAGCCATCTGCAGGGCTGGATCCCTCCTCTCTTTCAGGCCTTTGCTCAAATGTCACCTCATCCCTGAACCTTCCCTGACCACCTTGTTGAACATTCCAAACCTTCTCTTACTACCTTCATCCCCTATCTCATTCCTCAACTTTATTTTCCTCTAAGGTACTATCACCATCAGGCATTCTAAATAATAAACTTATTTATTTATTTAGTGTCTGCCTTTCCCGTCTAGAAAAAGGACATATAAGGATGGTGACTTCATCTGTTTCTTCACTGAAATATTCTTACTATCTAGAATGTTTCCTGGCACATAGTAGATACTCAGACAACATGTGTTGAATTAAACACAGAACATGCTCGACAGGTTCTTATTTATTTCAGTTGAAGTCCCACTGTACGGTGTGGCTCTTGAAGGCAGCTTCCCCGTCAGGCTCGGAGAGAACAAGAGAGGAACTTGGGGGATAAGGAATCATTTCTGTTTCACAGTTAGTTAAATTTGCTACCTATCTGAATTCCTGGATAGTCATAAAGACCCGTGGTCTTTATAACCAATGCACTTTTGTGCTCCAGGCCCAGAGAGCTCAGCTATTTAGGGCCTGGAGTGGGGAGGCCAGAGTCGCGGGTCCCCTCCTGGTGTGGGTCAGGGCCCTTGGTCCAGTTCCACAATCCAGCCAGGGCACAGGGAAACCAAATGAGAAAATGTGGGCAAACAGAGTGGAGGGTGTCATGTCAACGCAGACTGTAGCTCACTTGTTCCCTCCTTCAACAACTGTGTAATAATCTCCTATTGGAATGGAGACAGGATCAGGGAACCAGAGGTTGTTGAACAAAGTGGAGATCTATCCTGTTCTCCATGCCGGTTAACAATCGGAGCATGGGTTCTGCAGGACCCACGGGGGAGGGAGCTATGTGCTGTAGAGGAGGCTGTGCCCCTCTTTGTGGGGCCTTCAGGTGGGCTCAGCTTTAAGGGTAGCATTGATTATGAGGAGATTGCAGGGAGAACATTCCAGGTGGGCAGAGCTGTCCAATCAGGGTGACTCTCGGGACTCCCGTTGGGCTAGACCTATTTCCTCTTTCCTGGGGACACCGATGGCCTGACTGAGCCAGCTGGACGCAAGGCTGGAGACGCAGGCAGCACGGGGAGGAGGGTAGGAGCTGGGGACCCACAGATGAAGGGAGCCAGGCCTGGATTAAAGCAAGTCTGAAAGGCAAAACCCTCTGCATGCTTTTTAGGGCACTTAGGGATTACAGTAAGGAGTCTAATAAAAAAACTAAGATGTCCATTATTTACGTCATTCCAAGTATAAAAGAAATATGGAAACTCCTTTGCTTACAAACTTCCAACTTCCAGTTATGCAGATACCACGAGCTATAAGCAAGAGCAAAAGGACTTCTGCCCATCTCTACCGCAGGTGGCCATCGCTGATGCCCAGGAATGTGGGGTTGGGGACTAGCTGGCATTTTCAGCTTATTCTAGAAGCCCAGGACTCCGCATCTTGTCTTCTTACACTAAAAACCTGGAATGGGCTGGCCCAACCCAGGGGCAGGCTGCGAGAACGAAAGCCTTCGAGGCACACGCCCATTCCGCCCCCGGTACTCTTGTAGTCACAAGAGACAAATGCTGCCCTGTCTTCTTAGCAAATGGCTGAGAGTACACTTACCTGCACGAGTGGAAGGGATTGTGAGTCTGTGTCCTGAAAAAGGAATGCTGAAGTAGAAAAAGTTTCCCTTAAAAAAACAAACAAAACAAAAAACCTGGCCTCTGCAAACAGGTGCTTCTCCCGGGTTCTTGGCTTCCAAGTTCACCTCCTGGCTTAGCTGTGGAGGATGATGGCTGAGAACCCGGAAGCAGTTCCTCATTTGCAAGTCAATGGCCAGCGTTTTAGATAAAAAAGAAAAGCGCAGGTAAACTTCTCTCCCTCTTTCTGCTTATTAGGAACAGTCCTGTATTGTTCCCTTCCAAGAACTTCCCAGAAGTCAATGGCTTCTTGGCTCCTAAAGGCAGATCTGGAAGGGCCTTGAAGATGGAGAGAGAAGCTGAGGGCATAATGGTTAAAACTTGGCACAGGCAGCCATGACCTGGTGAGCTGGGGCTGGGTGGAAAAGCAATAAAACAATCACGGCTAACATTCATTGAGTGTCCATGTGTGCCATGTGCTGTTCTACGTGCCTTCCACTTAATCCTCACTATCAACGCACACATGTCGTAGACACGGAGACTTGAGCACAAGAGAACATAGCAACGTGTCCAAGATCATACACAGCTAGCAAGTGGCACAACCGGTATTCAAACCCTAACAGTCTGATTCCAGAATCTGTGCTTTTAGTGCCAGGATGAAAAGCCAACCCCTAAGGACACAGGCTGTGGCCAGGAGTCCAAGAGGTGGAGCAGCAAAGGAAAACAGCACGAGTGCACCTGGGGGTTGGTGGAGGGCTTCCTGGTTCACTTAGGAGGATTTGGGGATTCACAGACCAGTAAGTTCCCCCCAGATGTTTTTATTTTGTCGAGTAAAAACATTTGAAAATCTTCTAAAACCATCTCATAAAATAAAATAAATGTAATTTCCATGCAAAGAAGGACACAATCTCAGACTAAAGGCCCGTCTTTTAAGTTGAATCAATCCACCTTTGTAAAAGCCTCTCTCCGTTGTCCTTAGCTCCCTGTCTCAGCGTGGGCTGGTGAAAATGTCCTCATGGTGGCACCTGTCTCAGGACCCTCATCTCGGACCCCTGCAGTCCCTCGTTTGATCCTCATAAACCCTCTGCAAGGCAGCGGAGAAAGTCTCGTTAACCTCTGCTTTATTAATGAAGAAACCAAAGCCCAGAGAAGTCAAGAAATTTAAGGACACACGATATAAAAAACGTCAGGGCCAGGTTACAAACCCCGGTGTTTAGACCTCAGGTCAAGTGTTCTTTCCTTGTGCACATCAAGTCATTCACCAGACGAACTGACTGGCCACCAGACTGATTCCTGTCTGAGGACCCGAATGTTCAGAAAGAGAGGGAGCATTTGTAAGTTGTTCCCATTGACAGGGCTCAGAACGGAATAGCACAGCTGGCTGAGAGGCAGTCTCTGGCTTCAGGACCAGATGAGAAGCCCCTTAGGGGTAAGGAAGGAACATATTTTCTCTTCTATCCCCAGGCCCAGCGTAGCACAGAGGTGGGCACACAGGCTTGGCAAGAAATCCTTCCAGCTTAGAAATGGGAGTATGGTTTGAATGCCAGTTTTTATTTAACAGGATTTTACTGTGGAAAGAAGGGAGGAAGGGGAAAAAATCTCAGACAATTTGATAGGATGCTACTGGGATGAGGGAAAAAAAGATGGAGTCCGGAAAAGACTTGATGGAGGCACCCTGGGCGGTGAGGGGTGGAGGCAGGCAGCAAGAAGGGGCTTGTCCCTGGGGGTGGGTGGGTGGGTGGCAGGGAGGCAGGAGCACTAAAGGTGGCTTCCCACTGTTCTTAGCATCAAGGCCTCACTTCTGGTTATGGCCCGCAGTGCCTAATGGCCTGGCCCCTGCCTACTGCTCTTGCATTACCTCCACCACTCTCCGTACTCTAAACGTACCCCATGGGATCCCACCTCAGGACCTTTGAACATGCTATTCCTACTTCTGGGAATGCTATTTTTTTAGCGAGCACTTATGAATGCCTATTCATCCTTTGATGACTTCCCTGACCCCTGTCTACCAGTTGGAGGGGTAGACAGCCCAGAGCCACAGCAGCTCACCTCCAAAAGCAGTGAATGCTTAGATGTACACTGTGTGCACAGAGCACAGGGGCAGCACCTTGACCAATGGAGTGCTCATGAGGGCCATGGGAGCACCAAGGAGCACTTATTATCTTGTCCTGGGTGGAGTCAGCACCTGAACCTTTCCTTCATAACCTTGTTATAGTCTGCAGTTGTGTATCCGGGTGATTGTCTGGTTAATGTTCTTTTCTCTACTAAGTAGTCTGCCACCTGTGGGCAGGGCTTTGTTTTTGGTGGCCATCGTGTCTGCAGCCTACATGGAGCCAGGGGTCTTGTTGGTGCCCAGTGAGGGTTTGTTGAATGGCTTCCTTCCTTCTTTTGCTGGGGGCTGCCTGGCTGTGCAGCTGGGGGCAGCTGGCTGTGCAACTCACACTATTCTCGGGGATGTGGAGGGAGGGGTCGGAGGTCACAGCTATCTGTAGAAAACTGCACCCAGGCTACTCGCAGTTGTTTCTTCCTAGCCCAAGGTTCAGAACCCACTGGATTTGAAGTCCTCTGCTACTGGGATGATGGAGCCTGTCACCTGCTGACCAGATTGGGGCTGGGGCTCTCATGAGAGGTGTGTACTGGGTGGGTCTGAGTTGTATCAGCTCGGATTGTGCAGGACAAAGGAAACTTCTAACCTGCAGGATGTGGAGTGGGGCAGGAGCAGACCTGTCATTTCCTGTTCAGCCACTGGAGGGCAGTGTTGCTTCACAAGGAAGAGAAAGGGTGGCAGGAGCCAGCACCGAGGAGCCACTAGGTGCAAGTGATGATACCAGCTGGCATTTGCTGAGTGCCACCGGTGTGCTAGGTGCCTTGAATACTCTAATTCCACAATCACACAAGAGAGGGATGACAAAATCTATTTTACAGATGAGATCAAGTGGATCAGAGAGATTAAATGACATCTTCACGGTCCCATGGCTAGTAAACCGCCGAGCCAGAATTCAAACTCAAGTCTGCCTAAATCCCAGTGCTTTCCCCCAGCGCTCCCTCAGGCATGATGGTGGATGTTTTCAAGCTTGTCCTCATCGCAGCTGCCTGCCAGGGCTGTTGCCCAGAGCACAACCTTCTCTCACTCAGCTGGCTCTGTTTAGCCAACTTTTGATTATCCAAATTAATATAGGGGCCACTGACTTGGGTCTAAAATTTAAAATCAGGTTGTTAAAATGATCTATTTGAATCCAGAGACCATTATTCTATGTGTGGGGACAACAGATTTACCCATCCAGAGCCTTCTCCTCTGGTCTCGTTCTGCAGTCCCTCCTTTCATCCCTGCCTGCCCGCACATAGCTGCCTGAGAGCTTTCTTGCAGATTTGATCAGATGACTCTCACTGCTGTGCTTCAGTGTCCTCCTGTAGCTTCCAGGAGGAGGTCCTATTCCTTAGCCAGCACCCAAGGGCCTTCATGAGCTGGAATCTGCCTTGTTACCTTAATTCCCACCCCCCTCACCAGCTCACAAACCTGCCCTCTCAGCTCCAGTCCCCTTAGCACCGCACTTCAGCGCCCCTCAGAGCTGCAACCTCCCCACTGCAGAGTAGGAATAACAATACTTCTCACCAGGTGGTGGTGAGGATGAAATAATACCTGAAAGCCGCTGGCCCAGCGATCACCCACAGGAGGAACTCATTAATGTTCCTTGCCTTCCCTTTCTCAGCCCTTGGAAAGTGCAAGGACAACCTGCAAAGGCAAATTGACGCATTATAATGCTCCATACAGCGCAATCCCTGTGTAAACATTTCCAGACATAGACAAATGTCATCGGGGTGGTATTTCGCTCAAGCTGACCCTGAGGAAGGTACTTCCTTTACTGTTTTTTCCTGTGCCCATGCTGAGCTCGAAGGTGACTCAAACACCATCTCGATGCTAAACGCCTTGAGGACAAGGACCGGGTTGTGAACCTCTGGGTGTCCTCACAGGCCCAACACAGCACTGGGTCTTCAGTGGCATCTCCAAGAATGTTGGTTGGCCAATTAATTATTGACTGGGTGCATGAGAAGCCATAGGGATGGGCAGGCCATTTCAGGGTATCATCGTCTGAAACAGAACCAGCATTGTTTTAGGAGTCTGTTGAAATCCAGATGAAATATAGTACTTTCTTTTTCCTGTTGCAGAAGCTGGCTGTTTAAAACCACAGGGCATTAGACCAAGAAAGCCGCGAGGCTGATCAGTGAGCGGCTTGATTTGAGCCCTCTGGGCCGGTTGGGCTGACCATGCTCAGACGTGGAGCTCAGCAGGACCAGTTCCCTGGGTTTTGAGCACCCGAGCCTTGGCCCACCCTCTCCTCCTATTTCTCAGTTTAGTCTTCTTATTCTGAGCTTCAAAGAGACAAAGCTTACGGAGTGTCCCCTCAGCTTCCAGAAACTCTCCAAAACAGACAGACCAGAGTCATGGAACTCAGCGTCTTCCAGGGAGCGTTCCACCGGATGGGATGAGGAGCGGGGATTCTGCTCTCAGCTCAGATTCTCCTGGCTCCAGCCCAATCTCAGTCCCACCCCCAGGGTTCCAGTTTCCTCCCATCCAATGTCACATCGAACCTACCTACTTTGGGTTTGCGTGGCAGGTAAGTCTTCTGATCAAGATGCATTTGCCTGTCCCTGTTCCATGACTGAGGTCCCTTTGGTAGCGGGAGGTCTGCCTGCATGTGTTCTCATAATCTCAAGTCATCTAATGCCCGTCGAACGTTGTCAACATGTTGTATACGGATTATTCTTACCTTTAGTCATCTCAGTAACTGTGATATGGGATTTAAACTACCTGAGTGGTCTTGTATACTTTACCTCCTTCAGAACAATAGGAAAAATTGATTGCTATTATTCCCATGAGAGATGGGGACTCTAAGGGACTTGTCCAAGGTCACTCTGCAAGGTGGCGATGGGCAGGAGCTCTGGCTCTTGTGTCAGCAGCTCCACCGGCGAGAGTTCTGTCCATGCTCTGTAGTAGCCCCCCCAGGGCTACATGCAAATATGTTGCTGCTGCAGCTCGTAAAGATGGAGCAGCTGCAGAAGCCGGCACACGCGGGCAGGGGTTGTGGCCAGGGACGGCCAGCCAGGCAGGGGACTCTGGAGGGGAAGGCTGCTGAAGGATTGAGATTTCTGGGCCCTGGAAAGAGCTCCCCGTCTCCCAAATATCCTCTCTGCTGCCTGAAAGCTCCTTACCAAGGAACAAACCTTGCAGTCCTAGTTGAGAGACCAGGGTGCAAATCCCAGCTCTCCTTATTGGCTGTGTGAACTCGGGCAGCACACCTAGCCTCTCTGAGACTTTGTTTAATCGTCTCCTAAATGGAGATTTATTTAGTTATTTATTTTTTAAACAATTATTTATTTATTTATTTTTTCCCCCAAAGCCCCAGTAGATAGTTGTATGTCATAGCTGCACATCCTTCCAGTTGCTGTATGTGGGACGCGGCCTCAGCATGGTGGGAGAAGCGGTGCGTCGGTGTGCGCCCGGGATCCGAACCCGGGCCGCCAGTAGCGGAGCATGCGCACTTAACCGCGAAGCCACGGGGCCGGTCCCTTAAATGGAGATTTAAATAATATCTATTTTATAGGGTTGTGAGGATTAAATTTTAGAATGTATGTAATGGGCTTAACACACTGCCTATCTCTAACACACACTCTCTCTCTCAACAAGTGGTTATTATTGTAAATGGGGAGATGTAGATGGTGGGCTTGTGGTGTTTTTTATGTTTTCTTTTTGCTTCTCTGGGTTTTTAGCAAATTAACATACACTGCTTTTGAAGTACGGAAGATGATTTTTAATAATAAAAAGTGTTAGTAGCCAGACACATAGGAAAAGTAAGATATGATTCAAATTTACACGAGGACTTAAATAAATGAAAGCAGAACCTTTCCAGAGAGAAAGATGGTAGACTCTGCATTTATTGAGCACCTACTACATGCCTGATACTCTGTGTATATTTTTGTTTAATGTAAATAATCATCATAACAACCCTATCATCTAAGTGTTGTTATTCCCATTTTATAGATGAGGAAGCTGAGGCTCAAATGGGTTTTGTAACTGGCCCAAGTGCACACAGTTAGTTGGGAATTGAATCCAGATCTGTCTTATTGCAAAGTCTGCAGTCCTTACAACAACTTTTCAAGTTAACTGGAAGGGTAGAAAAAAATGGGATGAGGATGGGGTGATGGAGGGAGGGAGCATGGGAAGTAGGGAGCCAGGGACACCAGACATGTAAAAAACTTAAGTGGGCATAAAGGAGGGGAGAAAAAAGCAGAGTGCGGGTGGAAGTATCTCAGAGCAAAGTTGCCCAATTTCACAAATGTTCAGATGGGCTCTGCCCCATTCCAGGAAGGTTGACATCTGTAGCTGCAGTGGTTCTGTTTAATTGTCATTGTTTATTTTACAGCCTCTTTTTGCAAAGCTGCAAACGTGGGCAAGGAAGCCTGTATTGCTAGGTTTACCAACCAGCTCTCAGCCTTGTGGATTTCTGGGACGGTGCATGGTGGGCTGTCTGCTGCATGACTTTCCCAGCCTTGCACAGGACGTGTTTGAAGCCGCATGAGTTTCTGCAGCAGCTCTTGGAGCCTCCTCTCTCTCGCCTCTACTCTTTTCCATTTGCAGTCCCCTCATTGCATCTCAGGTGAAGGCACAGGTCCAGTGTTTTCTTTGTCAGTTAAATTTCATTTAAGGTGAGTTCCTTTCAGGCTGGGTATAATTGTTCCAGTTGTTCATTGCATGAGAGCATGCAGCTGAGGGATTGCTAAAATCCAGAATTCACCTGGATTTGTACAAAGTCACGCTATGGACCAGTGGCATCAGTGGTCACCTTACAAATTTGTGAATTTCCCTGAAACTCAGAACCAACCCACCTGATTACAGGTATTGAATGGCACAAGCTAATTGTTCATTGTTTTGCCATCTTCTAGAGAAGCCAAGCGACTGGGCCAGGGACATATGGGCTCCAAGAGAGGACAAAAGCCCAGGCTTTCTGATTCCCAGACCTGTGATGTCTCTCCAGAACCACTCACTACTATCCTGCCCCTTTCCTCCACCGAAGACAGAGAGAAGAGCTGGAAGAAGAGGGTCATCCCTGTGGGCAGGAGGCCCCTGAGGCTGTGGCTGTTGCTGCTGAAGGCAGCAGGGCGTAAGTGCAGAACCTAAGGGGTTAGTTCACCATCCAAGGAGTTCTGTGATCTGGCAGACCCGGGGAAGGAGCTGGCCTCTAGGCCCCAGAGGCAGGAAAGGGGCTTCAGAGAGAACGGATGTGAACATGTGGTGGGAGCTTGTGGCCCTTGGCCCTGAGATCTCAATCCTGACTGGACACCGAGATCACCTGGAAGCTTTAAAAATGCTGATGTCCAGGCGCCTGCTCCAGGGAATTGGAGGTGGTTGGTCTGAGGTGGGTTGGCTGGGTGTATTTTAAAAGGTCCTCAGATGATTCTCGTACACAGCCAGTGTTGATTCTAGTACACTAGGCAGCGAGCTCCTGAAGGAAGAAGGCCTGGCCTTTTTACCTCCCCTAACACGGCAGCACTTGGCACATAGAAAGGCTGCACGCAAGCATGCTGAACTGAAAGACGTAAGACCAATAACACTAAGTGATGGATGATCGCAGCCACTCAAAACTGGCCTGAAGAATATGTGGTGAAGTGGAAGCAGTTTGATTCTTATTCTGTAAAAATAAAAAAATACACATGTAAGGGAAAAGGACAGGAAGGTTTTTGATTTATTGAGGTCATCATGGTTTATAACCTAGTGAAATTTCGGGTGTACGTTATTATTTATCAGTATTCTGTATAGATTGCATCGTGCTCACCACCAATAGTCTAATTTTTATCTGTCACCATATATATGTGCCCCTTTACCCCTTTTGCCCACCCCGCAACCCTCTTCCCCTCTGGTAACCACTAATCTGTTCTCTTTGTCCATGTGTTAGTTTATCTTCCACATATGAGTGAAATCCTGTGGTGTTTGTCTTTCTCTGTCTGGTTTATTTTGCTTAACACAATACCCTCAAGGTCCATCCCTGTTGTTGCAAATGGGATGATTTTGTCTTTTTTTATGGCTGAGTAGTGTTCCATTGTATATATATACCCCACGTCTTCTTTATCCAGTCATCAGTTGATGGGCACTTGGGTTGCTTCCACGTCTTGGCTATTGTGAATAATGCTGCAACGAACATAGGGGTGCATAAGTCTCTTTGAATTGTTGATTTCAAATTCCTTGAATAAATACCCAGTAGTGGGATAGCTGGATTGTATGATATTTCTATTTTTAATTTTTTGAGAAATGTCCATACTGTTTTCCATAGTGGCTGCACCAGTTTGCATTCCCACCAGCAGTGTATGAGGGTTCCCTCTTCTCCACATCCTCTCCAATATTTGTAATTTTTTGTCTTGGTACTTATAGCCATTTTAACAGGTGTAAGGTGATATCTCATTGTAGTTTTGATTTGTATTTCCCTGATGGTTAGTGATGTTGAACATCTTTTCATGTGCCTGTTGGCCATCTGTATACCTTCTTTGGAAAAATGTCTGTTCATATCCTCTGCCCACTTTTTGATTGGTTTGTTTGTTTTTTTGTTGTTGAGTTGTGTGAGTTCTTTATATATTTTGGAGATTAACTCCTTGTTGGATATATAATTTGCAAATATTTTCTCTCACTTGGTGGGTTGTCTTTTCATTTTGTTCATGGTTTCCTTTGTCTTGCAGAAGCTCTTTAGTCTGATGTAGTCCCATTTGTTTATCTTTTCTTTTGTTTCCCGTGCCCGAGTAGACATGGTATTTGAAAAGATGCTGCTGAGGCTGACGTCAAAGAGTGTACTACCTACATTTTCTTCTAGGAGTTTTATGGTTTCAAGTCTTACCTTCAAGTCTTTAATCCATTTTGAGTTAATTTTTGTGTATGATGAAATATAATGGTCTACTTTTATTCTTTTGCACCTGGCTGTACAGTTTTCCCCAAACCATTTATTGAAGAGATTTTCCTTTCTCCATTGTATGTTCTTGGCTCCTTTGTCAAAGATTAGCTGTCCATAGGTGTGTGGTTTTATTTCTGGGCTTTCAGTTCTGTTC